TGCAGTCTGTTTTGGTCACCAGTGTATTAAATGTCTGTTAGGGAAACTATTAACCGAATAGGAAAAAAATCACGCATAGTTCATTACCCAACCAATTTTAGAAAACAGCCCGAACCACCATTCAAAAGAACCACCTATGTATTCTGTGCGAGCCTCCCTTTAACTAACTGTTTCTGTCGTTGCTCCTTGGTTGGTTGGTTTATTTCATGACAGGAATGCCCTTGTTGGCTCAGGGCCATTGAGTTGATTCGGCGTCACAGTGACCACCTGGGACGGAGGGAGGATTTTTATGACTGTTCCCCAGGAAGCATCCAGTCTTTCTGCTGCGGAGCCACTCTGGGGGTTTGAACCTTTCACTTAGCAGAAAAATGCTTTACAACTCTGCCATTGGGCCCTTCCATTCCCTGAATAAATAGCACTAATGAATGAGCATCCCTTCCCTGACCTATAGCCCACTATAGTTGTTCAAAATAAGCAAATACACCAAACTCACTGCTGGCAAGTCCCTTCTGCCTCAGAGGGAGCTGCTGAGGCTAAGTGGAAGTGCTCCACTGGGTTTCTGAAGCTGCAAATTGTCGAGGGCATGGAAAGCCTCATCTTTCTCCTCTGGAGCAATGGATGGTTCTGAACCACCAGTCTTGAGGTTAACCCAAGACTTAACTCACTGTACCATCAGGGGCCCTAAGGAGCTCTGAGCATAGTAGGTTATGTGAGGGGTTTCAAACCACAAAGTCAACAGTTCGAAAGCATCAGATGCTCCGAGGCAGAAAGAGGAGGCTTTCTACTCCTATAGAGTTAGACATTCAGAAACCCAAGGGAGCAGTTCTGGTCTGTCCTTGAGGGTTGAGCTGAGGCAGAATTGGCTTGATGATCAGTAATTGACTCCAAACAAAAATCCCATGTGAAAGTTGGATATTAAATATGGAAGATCAAAGAATAGTTGTGTTTTAATTAAGGGACTGGAACACTGTAAGCCCTATGGACTGCCAAAAGAACAAACAAACCTTTCTTGGAAGAAGTAGAGTCAGAATGCTCTTTAGAGGCAAACAAAGATGGTGAAACTGCATCTCGTATTATTTGGACATGTTATCAGGAAAGGTCGGTCCTTGGAGAAGGACATCATGCTTGGTACAACAGAGGGGCAGCACAAAAGAAGAAGGCGCTCAACAAGATGGATGGACACAGTGGCTACGACAATGGGCACAGACATAAGGATTTGACAGCATTTCACTCTTTTGTCCTTAAGGTTGCTGAGAATGATAACTGACTTGATGGCATCTAACAAGAACAACCACCACCACAACCCAAGCCTACTGCCATTGCGTCAATTCCAACTCAGAGGGACGCTATACATTTTTTTCAGAGACTATAAATCTTTAAAGTAGCAGATAACCTCATCTTTCTCCACAGAGCAGCTAGGGGGTTTAAACCGCTGGCCTTGCAGTTACCAATCCAATACCTAACAAAACCACGAAAACCCAAAACAAACCAAAGTCAGTGCCATAGAGTCAATCCTGACCTAGCAACCAAGTAGGACAGGCAAGAAGAATTGCCCCTATATGTTTCTGAGACGGTAACCCTTTACAAGAATAGAAAGCCTTTGTTTTCGCCAATGCAGCAGGCTGGTGGTTTTGAACTGCTGATCTTGTGATTAGCAGCCCAAAGTGTCACAACTACATCACCAGGGCTCCCAACAACAGCGTCACCAAGGTTCCTTAAATAATGGACCCAGTGCTGGCAAAATAGATAGATTACCTGCAAAGACACCGCGGGGTGGGGGGATCATTGTGCTACAGAGCCTTGCTATGAAGGAGCTTGCCCCTTTAGGGACAAGGTGAATGACTTGTCCTAGGAGGAAAGAAGGAAGGCCATCGTGGAGTGAGCACAGCTCATCAAGAGCTGTGAGCTGTGAGCTACACGCACCTGGCTATTTTGATAGCCCTCTGAAGCCTCTTCCTTTTGCAATCCTTCATCTTGCTACCTCCCCTCTGATTGTGTCTGTGTTCACCAAACAAGGGATAGTCTGATGGTGACTTGTCTTCCAAGGGGAACCTCTTTCTAATATGATCACGAGGCTGAGCCCCATGGAGCTTCTATTCTGACTCTAAATGGAGGCTGGAGGAGTGTCTGGGAGCTGTGGAGGGCAGTCGTCCTGGAAGGGCTAGGAACCTCAGGGGAGGACACCAAATTAAAAGCCCAGATCAGATCTGGAAGGTGACACGGATAGGGGTCGCCTTGGTAGCCTGCCATCTGACTTGCCTGTGGTGAATTCCATCTATGCATGGCCTCACTAAAATCTAAAATGTGAATCAACATTTTAAAATGCTACACTTTCTGCATTGCTAGGAATTTTTAGCTGATCTCTCATTTAAGCCTCTTGGTGATAATCCAGCATTAGAAGTTCTCCTGATAACTAGAAATTCTATTAATCATTAAAACCAATAGCACTTGTGTAGGGTGTAATTGTGTATCTTATGCTGGCTCAAAAATCCCTTCAGGCTATTTGGAAAAACCTGTTTAATAGCACACATGTAGCATGCTGTCCATTAATAAAAATATCAAGCCTCACAGAATATTAGTGGGGCTTCTAAATATACTTAGATGCAAATGCAAGTCAAAAATATACCCACATATCCCTTGCTCTTTTTGTTTCTGCTGAATAGTCTTGGAAAAGTTGGTTCAAAGCTGGCACGGATCTTACAAGTCGCTCATTTGCACAGATAGTAACCAACCATCACTATACTGTTGTTCAAAAGCAAAAACAAAACAAACAAAACCCCTCCAACTCACTGCCATCGAGTCATGCCGATCCCTTAGGACAGACTAGAGCTGCCCTATGGGTTTCTTAGGCTATACTGCTTTACGAGGAGAAACCCTCATCTTTCTCCTTTGCAGCAACTTGTGATTTCAAACTGCGGATGGTTTGGTTCCCAACCTGACTCAGAACCACTATGCCACCCTGGCTTTCCTGTGGTGATGGGCTCATAAATCAGATCCTGGCACAGAAAGAAGTGATCATGCAGAGGATTTGGAGAGAGTACTGAGAGAAGACTTTGGCAAGAACGTGGCATTGATAAAAAGAAGCACTGCTAATTGAGTTAGAAAATCATGCTCCAGAGACTTTATGAATGAACTGGAAACTGACAACAGAGTTACAGTCTAAGAAACCCACGTGGCAGTTCTATAGCTGATTTCAGACAGGGAACCATATTGGACCACTGTGATGATGTGTCAAGTAGTGTTTTCTTTTAATTCTAGGAGCCCTAGTGGCATAGTGGGTTACACAATGGGGTGCTAACCACAAGGTCAGGAGTTTGAACCCACCAGCTGCTCTTCACAATAAAGATAGAGCTTTCTGCTCACGTAAAGATTTACAGCCTGGAAAACCCACAGGGACCATTCCATTGCACCCAAGGATTCCTAGCCATCAGACCAGACTGGATGGCAGTGAACTTGGGTTTTGCTATTTAACATTTTGGACAGTATTCTCCAAAAGTTCTCCTTCTCCTCGGATGCTCTGCAGAGTCATCCGAGATACTCATTGGAAAAGTAGCCTCCTCGGCCCGCTGCAAACCTCCAAATTTGAGGGCTTGAGATTAGAACCCAGGAATCTCATCTTCTAAAAGATGGGGTGCTTTTTTATATGTTCATTTAGGTGAGTGCCACTAACGAGGTTCATATAATTTGTACATGAGAGATAGAGCTTAAAGTAGGTACTTTGAGGAATATCATATATTATATTAAAGAGTTAAGATTTTATATTTAATTTTAGAGACATGCAAACCCCTCAAGGGCATGTAAGTTGTCTCCTTTGTATGCTCAAACTACACGGAGGACTTTATAGTACTTGCTCAACACACTTTTGTCCTGGGAATGTATAATTAAGATAGGAGCCGGTTTTTTTGTTTTTTGTTTTTAAGTCAAAGGGAATTAATTTGTAGCTTACTTAGCCATTTAAATCTTAGGGATCAAAAATGCAAACTTGCTGCCATCCAGCACACTCCTACTCATAGTGATTCAATGGAACAGAGCTGAATTGACCTCATAGGATCTTTGAGGCTGTGAGCCCATAGGGAAAGAGACTGCCCCACATTTCCCCAGACCTTTCAGTTAGCAGGCTAGTACTTACCCCTGTGCACCTAGGGTTCCTGGTGTATGGAAAACGAAGAGGGTCAAACCCATTGCCCTTGAGTTGATTCTACCTCAAAGCAACTCAAAACAAAAACCCTACCACACACCACAACAATATTCCACACCCCACAATCTGGTTTGCAAGACTGTAAATCTTTATGGAAGCAAACAGCTTTGTCCTCCTCCCCTGGGGTGGCAGGTGGGTTTGAACAACTTACCTTGGTGGTTTGCTTACCCTACAGCACTGCCAAGACTCCTTGACAAATGGTAAATCAGGTTAGAAATGTCTGCATCATAGATTTAACAGAAAATTAAGCGAGAGAGCAGCTGGAATGCATTTAGTAGAGTGCCTGGCACAGAACAAGTCCTCAATCAACGAGACTTCTTATTGGTATGGCTATTAATAATCGTATTTAGCACATCATCAGTACTAAATATTGCCTGCGTGACTTATGCTGCATTGACACTCTAAAAGTTACTTTGGATTCAAGATTAATATGGATAGGAATAAAATAAACCCACATGCCTCTTTAAGAATCCTTTTCAGAGATCTTTATGAGTTTGAGCAGGCCAAGTGAAAGAATTACCAAGCACTCAGATCATAGGGAATATTTTCTTTGTAAGAATCTGTTAGACTCATTTTTTCCTTCTCTTTTATTTCCCCTTGCTCGCTTTGAGCCTTCCTTTATTTCATTCCATATCTCTCTTTCTTTCAGACTTTTGATTTTTTTTACGTTTTGGGATGAACTGAGTCCAAAGAAAGTAGAAAATGATGAAAAAAAGTTGACGTTCAGTGAGTCAGTCTTCCAGGCTCTGTTCATTCTGTTGAATGGCTTATGGTTTTTGTTTTGTTTTGTTTTAAACTTCAGGTTGTATTTAAAGGGTCACTCTGGGACAGCTGGAAAACAGAGCAGCCTGATCTTACACGGAGCTGACTTCAGCACTAAAGATGCTGATAATGACAACTGCATGTGCAAATGTGCCCTCATGCTAACAGGAGGTAAGTCCTAGGGGGCTCTTCTCCAAGTTAGGTTTCATTGGTGGGAGACTTGAGGTTTCTTATCTAGGAGAAAGGGGTATGATCTTCTGGATAGGAAACTTCAGAGCAAGTCCCTAGAGATAATTTTGTTCTGCCCACGAATTTACCATGTGTTCTTGTGCAAGACATTGCTAGCATACTTAGAGGTTTACGTCCAGCCCCGACACTTGTAGGGGAATAGGCTAAACTCAATCGGAATAATCCTTTAGCCTCTGGAAGTCTCCGCGATTCCACCTCCTGAATGATTAGCGCGGTGGTGGTGTTAGGTGCTGCCAAGTTGGTTGTGACTCATTGCGATGCTATGCACAACAGAACAAGACACAGCCTGGTCCTGCACCGTTCCCATCTTTATTGTTAGTAGTTGAGCACTGACCCTATACCACGCAGGGGCTTTATGCATTGTTGATATTATGTAATATAATATTAGATGTTGCTATAATATATAATATTGAATTGGTTACACCTCATAACCACCCTATATACAACAGAAGGAAATACTGCCCAGGCCTGCAGCATCCACACAATTATCACTGTGGTTAAGCCCATTATTGCAGCCACTGTGTCAATCCATCTCTTGGAGGGTTGCCTTCTTTTTCTATTCCTCTCTACTTTGCCAAGCATAATGCCCTTTTCCAGAACCTTCCAGGGAACTTCTATAAAGGATGTGCCTTGAGGTTTTATCATGGTCACTTTGAAGGGGCATTCTGGCCATACTTCTTCCGAGATGACCGTTGCATTAGATTATATACAACTTCCCATGTGATACCATGCTATTTGAACTCCAAATCCATAGAAACAAGGAAGAATCCTCTAATCTCTCCTTTGTCCATGAGACAGACTAAAATAAGTTCATGTACTCTTTTATCCTGAGCACCTAGTGAAGTAGGTCATGGCAAATAGGGCATGAAGCCTAACTATGATGTGTGAACGAATGACTATAAATATCTGAATGGTTGTAGACTGGTAATCTTGGACTTCACTCTCAAAATCTCAAACTAAGGAAATAAATCTGCAGGTTGAAACATCTCTCATTAGTAAACAGAGCACAGCAATGTATAAAAGGAAGCTTCCATCTTCCTCTCCCCGCCCTCCCCAACCACTACTGTCGCCAGTACAGCCTAGTCCACTGATGCCCACTCACTGCACTCATAACTAGCTTCTCAGGGTGGGAACCCCTGCAGAACTGTCGAAGCCAGCCTACTGGTGTGCCTCTGATCATGTCCTTCAACTTCAACATTCCATTTTGTCCTAGAATAATTGTGGATTCCCATATGTAATTTTGTGACCCCATCACCATGTTAAAAATTAATTGTTCAAATTTAGAGTTAAAAAGCTCAAACCCTCACAGCTATTGAGTCAATTCTGACTCGCACGTGGAGAAGAATTGCCCCTGTGGGTTTCTGAGATTATAATTCTTAACAGGAATAGAAAGCTACCTTTTGGTACTTAATTTTTTTTCTTGAGAGAGGAACTTCATTTTCTCCCTGACTGCATAAATGAAATTGTCATCAACTTTATGCAGACAAAAGGATTTTACTTTTCTGCTTGCCTGCCCATGTTATTATGGAGACATGCTTCATTTTCCCCCTGTATATTTTTACAGTTAATTTTTCTTACCAAATACAACACATGGAAGATCAACAGTAAAAATCTTTCTCTTCTTTCCTGAGAAGTGTGCTCCAATATGTTCATATTCCTGTCAGAATAATGGAAATATGGAGCAAAGCAAAGAGGAAAAGGCACCTCTTTTTTGTCAATGAAAAATGCCACTGCTTAGATTTATGATTTTATTTCTGCTTCACACGATTGAACTTTGCCGTGTTCTTTCATCTGTAATCACTCTTGGACCTGCTTCTTTTTTTTTTTTTGGACCTGCTTCTTTTTTTTTTTTTGGACCTGCTTCTTACTGACCAATAAACACATATGTTGGGGAGAAAAAAGAATCTACTTGTTTCCTAGGCTGGCATGGTGTAAGTTAATGTGTTTTTGTAACAAATGCTATTTCCTTATCAAATACCCTTTAGACAGACCCCAGGTCTGCAACACTATTCGCTTTGCAAAGCCGGCCTGTGGGCTGGAGATAGCTACCGGCTGGGAATATGAGGATGAGGTCGGTGGCAGGCAGGTGAAGGAGGGGTGCCTGGAACTAAAGTGCTAATAAATTACCCCATACTATCCTCATTTGAGCTGTCATTTTTTTCCTTCTAATCATTTTCCTTCATTCTTCTCTTATATCATATTTGAGCTCCTTGCTTATTAAAAATAGTCTCTCTTAAGTGGTGGTGCTTCCTACCCTTTTGAGTTAATACCTCCTAGTTCTCTGCCTCTAAGGCTTTCCTTATCTTTGTTTCTTCCTACAGGAAGTAAGAGTAAATTAAGCTGGATTGTTCACCAGTAATGTCCAAGTAGGCTTTTCTTAAATACATGGAAGGTATTTAATTAGATAATACAGTATCATTATTACCCACATCTGTCAAAAACGAAGCCACAGGAGTACAGATTTAATTAAAAACAGAAGATATTTCGGCTAGACATAAGAGAGACTGTTTGACCCCTTTTCCCTTCTAACTTCTTACATTCCTTCTGTCAGTTGTTAAGCAAATGTTAATGGGCTTGTATGGGTCCACGTGAGTCAGAATAGAGTCAATAACACCACTAGCTACTAAGGCCAGTTACTGCAGAAGAGAGAAGGTGGCCTGCCTTCAGAGAACTTTCATCTCCTGGGGGAAGATGCTCAAAAAAAGGTAATCAGTAAGTCACACTCTTTTTTGAACTGTAAACACTTTCTATTGACAACAGAGATAGCTATTGGAAGAAAGAGAGGCAACTTTCAATGGAGTGTCCCAGGATCAAAGACTCCACTGAGTTGCCGGGGAAGCTCCTGCATCTCTCCTTGTGGACAACCTCAGAAAGAGCCCAGTCTTGTCTTTGCAAGAGTTTAGTTACATGCTTTCCTGCCATTGTGGGGCTAGAGTTAGAGGGTCTCAACATTTCTCGTGGTTCTGTGCTCTTTGCAGCTGCCCTTAGGGCACAGACAAAATGCTCGCGATGTCGGCAGTCATTCATAGCAAGGGGTAAAGTGGGAGAGTGATGGAGTGAGCCGAGAAAGCACCGTGCAGACATCTTTATAAAGACACTGCAACATCCTACTCCCCCTTTTCTAGAAGTATGTGTACTTCTTCCTTCTTCCTTCCATTCAAATGAAACGTTGAATAAGCTAATGTTTTATTACCCGTCTGATGGAACCAGAGCATATATTTCAAGAGGAAAATTGCCACCCACGCTTTCTATGGAACTGACCCCTTAATTAATCATTAAATAGAGATGACTTGTCAGCAGAGATTTGGAAGCCAGAAATATCTGTGCTCTGCAACTGCCACTGACCTTGGGAAAATGTCTAAAGTGTACACCAAAGGTATCCCCTAATAGATGGGCCATTATTGCAAAATTGTATATTTTATCACTAGGAGAAAAGCATTTCAAAGGTGATTGTAGAAAGTATTTTCATAGCCTCTCCTCTTACCCCAGCCTCAAGAGAGTATCTACTGTGCCCTCGTGAGCTCAAAGAAAGGAACCACTTTCATGAAATAAAACAGTTAGAAGTGCTATTTAACATTCAGAAAACGACAGTGTAAATTCCTTCAATGTGAGCTTGTGTTTATCCTGGTTAACACTCATGAAGAAGTAACCATGCAGCCTCTTACTCCAGCATTATAAAAGTGTGATGCCTGATTTCTTATCACACTGTCATATTCTACGTAAACTTACCTGCCAAACACACATGATTTGAGTACCAAAGGAATAGTCTTCAAAATACAGTTTTTCAAAAATCTTCTAGAAATTGCATTTATTAATGGTTGCCAATAACAACAACTACAAAAAAAAAAAGAGTTCATGGTATTGTTTTACATACCTGTCCTTACCTTACTTTTCTTTCCAGGCAATTTCCATATTTAACTCATAATATAAAAGCAATGTAAAATATGACATAACCTTCTGCAGCAGGAATCTGCTGTGGCAGAGACCCCCACCTCTTTTCCCACACATAAACTATGTCAGCCGACAGACAGGCTTTCTAAAGCTAACAAAGGGTAGTTCTCAGTTCAGTCCTTAAAAAAGGAATAAAGCCATCCCCATAAATTTTTCACTTCACCCTAGAACTTGCCGATGCTAACAGCAGAGCGTTGATAAGTGCCTGCCTGGCTTGCTGTGGAATCCTGAAGATGACAGAGAAAATTAAATTAAAAACTGGTGGATGATGTTGACATGACAAGATCTTTGGGGAAATGTTCCTAGAGTTTGGAATAACCTGAGAAACCAAGCCAGACAGAGTTGGATAATGAACAGTCCCTAAAGATTAAGGCAAAGTGGTTGCAAGAAAATACCCCTATGGATAATTTCAAGTTGGCCGTCTACTTTGCGAGGAGCTCTGCAGGAGGACGTCCGGGAGTCTTCCCCTAAAGATTGACAGCCTCAGGAACCCTGTGGGGCGTGGTCCTCTGCTCTAGGGGAGTCGCCCAGAGTCAGAATGGACGTGACGACAGTGGGTTGTCTAGCAATTAAGTGACTTTGATTTTGAATGACATTGATTTATACGATGAAAGCTTATGTCACAAAAGGTAGGCATTCGTGGAAGGCAGACACGTTGTACTATCTACTACTGTCACACAGTGCCAAGAACACAGTATAAGTAAACATTATTATAGGATAGCACATGTTCCCAGGTGCTCTGAAGGATTATGTAAAATCACAAGTGATTATGGGAGTACATATGTAAAGCAAGGAGGGCTTCCAACTGGTTGGTTCTAGCCCCTCCCACCCCCACTCCCCACACCTAGCTGAGGATTTGCATTTCCACTCCAGAGATCCTGAATCAGAATTTTCAGTGGGACAAGAAGCCCAGCTGATTCTTATGTATGCACAAGGCCTGGGGATTTATACTCCACCTAGGGATGTTACAC